CCAAGTGAACCATCTCCTGGGGTCACATGGTCAGGCAAGAGGCAGATGGGGAGAGAGGCCCGGTATTGCCTGCTCTGGAAGGCCGGCCTCTCAGCCCTAGCCCGCCCTCTTTCCTTTGACAACTTTAGCCCCTCTCTCCTGCAGTCAACTAAGAAACCTGAAGAAGTTCCCCGCTTTTCTTCCTTCAGTTCAGATCATCATACTCTCTTTCCTGACCTCTTCTAACTCATGTTCCTTCCTCATTTGCTTCTTGCTCTCTCATACCACATCCTAGGTCTCAGGATATAATACCTCTGAGCATGCTGCTCTTCAGTGCACAGAAGGAAAAGTCAGTCTTTAGCATGACACTCAAGGCCTCCATTTCAGCCTGTCACCTACTCTTTCCCTGCGTTTAGTCTGTGGGCCAGCAAACTCAAGTTGGGTCTTCAGACATCCACATGACTTCGGCCTCTGTGTCACCTGCCTATGTTTCATTATGTGCCTGGAATGCTGTTTACCCTTGTGTAGGTCCCCATTGGTGTCCCCAGGTCTCATGCATGTGCTGTGTCTCCACTACAGAACGCTTGCATCACATAGCTAGGGTCGCTTCTTCTATCTCAGAGCCCTGAGCCGTGACCCTTACAGAGAGAATACTCCCCATCTCTGCACATCTCTTCGTATCCCATTGAGCAGGGAGGAACAGCAGCTCTGTATTCGTCTGTCTAGGTCTGAATCCAACCCTCATCACTTACCATCTCTATGACCTTGGCCACGTCTCCTAAGACCTTGTCTAGTCTCTATTTTCTTGATCTAGAAATGAGACTAAAGCTGGGCACAATGGCCCACACTCTAATCTCAGCCAGTCTAGGTAAACTCAGGTAGTGAAACTCTGTCTCAAGACAGCGAACACACATACTCACACTCACACACACACAATAATGAGAGACGAAGAGAAGACAATAGTAAAAATACAACTTCTTAGGGTTGGACAGTGTTATTTGTTTGGTGTAACAACTCTTCTTTTTCAGCACTGAAGACTGAACATAGGCTCTCACACATGCTTGGCAAGTGCTCCATACTCGTCTCAGCACCAGCCCTGGTATTTTAACATCAACATTCATATATGTTATCTTTTCTATTAAACAACTAGACCCTCCCTGAAGACCAAATCTGGGTCTGTTTTTATTTGTATCCACAGTACTGGTGTCTGGTCAGTGCCTTAAACCAGTATGAACTCAGCAAGCCTGTCTAACTCTAATACAGTTTTTCAAAGACTGGATCTGCTAGCACATACCTCAGTCTTGTCCTCAGAAGTCTAAGAGCAGGAGACTCACAAGTTCAAGGCCAGCTTTTACTTACATTGTCATTTATTCTTCACAGTAGCTACATGAAGTAGGTATCTTTAATAATCCCTTCTAAAGATGGGAAAACCATAGGCCAGGGTCAGACAGAGCCAAGGTTTGACCCGACCCCAAATCATATATCCCTACTGAGCCCGGAGTAGCTGACCTGGAAACTCTCAGCTCGCTTTCTTCCTCTGGGGAGAAAAAGGAGGTGGGGCTCACACACACAGAATGATATGTTTTTACAGAGGCTTTTCTTTGTTCTAAAAAAAAAAAAAAATGCTGTTTTGCTCAAGACTTGAGAGCTCCAATCCTAACTTTTCCACACCCTTCTTTTCTCCTTATTTTGCCTTTAGGCCCCATTCCTTAGTCATATGCTAGAACATCCTAAACTTGTAGCCACTCGTGACTAAAGAATTGGCTGCTGGGAATACAAGGTCCCTGAAAGGACCTTACCTAGCCTGTGAGAAAGAAGTCCCTTGGTTGCTTCCCCAGGGCTCAACTAGGATAGACATTTCATAATGTCCTCCTAGAACACCCCTCTCCTCCAGGAAGTCTCCCCAGCCTGTCTGAACTTCTGGAGTTCTGATCATTCACGTGTTTTGCATCCAGTTGTTCAGAATTGATCTGAACTTACAAGGAACGGTCTATGAGCATCCTCTGTCTGCTTCCCCTGTGTGCCTATGTCTACACATTTGTTGGAACCCCACATGGAAGCCATGTATTAGGAACAGCTGGTCCCAAGGCCTGTGTTCAGGCAGGCCCCTCATTGGCAGCTGGAGAGAAAAGGGGAGTGCTGGGCATTGCAGCCCCTACCCCACCCCCAACTAAGAAGTGTGTCAGCTGCTGCTACTTTTTCAGCCACATTTCATTCCTGAAACTCAACCCTCCTCCCCTTGTAGGCAAAGAGGAAGGACCAGCACTGTGGAAATCAACTTCATTGAGCCAGGGTCTCTGAACTCTCAGCCTCTCTCTTGCACTTTCACAATGCAAGTTTTGTTGTTGTTGTTGTTGCTTCAGGAAATTTGGCTATTTGGCTCCATTGCTTTTCCTGAACCAACTTTTCTTGGTTGAATTTCAGTGCCAAGGAAGGGGGTGGATAAAAAAGAAGACTACAAAACACCCTGAACAAAAGCAATTTTACAACCTGTTAAGGTCGCCTTCTGCAACAGGTTTATCCCACAGTGTCCGCAGGCTGCCCTTGAAGAGAATTTAATGAAATTAGCAAATGTAGACCTTAATCAGAATTACATGAGGCATTCCTGGGCAAGAACCAGGAAATATACAGTCCTTTTGGATGGCAGTTCAGATGCTGTCTGGAGTGAACCAACTCCAGGGGGAAAGCCTGGATGTGATATATGCAATGCTAACCTCACTATAGCCTTGGAGTATAAAGAAGCCCAAAGTTCCCTATTCCCACCACAGCCAAGCTCCATGAACTTCAGTCTACAGTCAGCTCAGGTACGGGCCCAGGCTAAAAGCACTTTGTTTTCCTCTTAGCTCCAGTTGGGAATACTGAGGCACAGAGATTCGGCCTTGCTGCTACTTAAACACTGAGGTGAGATGTCAAGGAGGGAACAAGATGCAGATACTCTATCACTCTGCTAGGACTCTTCTTCAGTGAGCTGGCACGAGGGAGGGAGTGGAGTGCCACGGGGGTGAAGAACTCCCCCCAACTGAGTGTCATTCTGGGCCCCAGGCCAGGCAGTTGGCTTCCTCTCCAAGACAGTCAAAGGCTGGAGATGCTCAGACAAAAGGCCAAATAAAAGCTGATGTGGAGCGGGGTGACTTTATTCTCTCTCTTTCCTTCTCTCAGGCACAAGAACCCAAGACCTTGGTAGGGGTTTGCAAATCAAAATCTGGGAACTTAGCTCAGTGCAGATTTTTTTTTTTTTTAATTATCTTGACAGACTGTCTTCCTCCCCTCACCACCTCCCACCTAGAGTGACATAAAAATGCAAATCAGTAAGATTTAGAAAATTCATTCCCATGCCAGGAACACCCACAAACCCTCTATAGATGCTGATCCTGATGTAGGTGGCATGGTCCCGGGTTCCAGGCACCAAGAGGATTATAGATTCTTTCCTCAGCATGGGCTTTGGTCCTCAGCCACTGTCTGTAATGATCTTTGTCTTCCTGGGCCTGGCCACATGAAGCGGGAGCATGAGCGTGGGGTGTTCATGGACCAGGACCACCATCCTGAACTAGCATGGCATGCCTATGAAACCTGGTAAGGTACACGGCGTGGTACAGGACAGCAGCAGTGGACGCTTTGGCTCTCACCAAAGAAGTGTTCTGGGGGGCAGTAACTTTCCTATCTGAGTGTCATACAGAAAGGGCTCAGGAGGAAGGAATGAAGAAGTGGCAGTCACCTGAAAAGCAGACTCAGACAGGGACAGACAGGACTAGTGCCAGGGCGTCTTGATCAGGGGGCATCAATGAGAATGCCTGCTCCTTCATACTCCTTTCTCTACCCTACTGCCACCAAAGCCTGCCGGTAGTCCTCTGCCCAGCAGGCAGAGCAGAGCCTCTGCAGACAGGAGTGGAAAGGCTATCTTGGGATCTTAAGAGGCTGGAACTGGGCACTGTCTGGATCCAGGTCTGCTGTTGGGTGCCTGAGGGACCTGGCTCTGAGAAGAGGAAAGAAGAGGGGGCAAAGTGAGTCAGGGGAGCCTACTGCCACGAGAGATAAAATGAAAGAGACACTGAGAGGTGGAGTGAGAGGAGGAAGCTAAGAAAGTCTACATGAAGGAGGGATGGGTGGAGTTGTGAAAAGACCCATGTGCCTACCTATCTGCCTGAATCCTGGTGATAAAGGAACACTAAAGGTGAGCGGGTGGGGTGGGAGGCAGACAGACAGACACAGAGAAAGACAGACAGACACAGACACAGACACACACAGAAATCAGAATCAACCTGGCCTCCCTTAACACTCACTTCTCCCTCTTTAGTGATTCATTCCCCCTCCCCAGGGTAGCACACTCACACTCAGCCACTCAGCACCCCGGGGCCCTGCACACTCCCAGCGCACTCCCCAAGCCCAGACCTGACATCTGGCCGGGCCTCCACAACTCCCGCTCCGCGATCTGCCAGGCAGTACCCCTCCTCCCCCGTCATTACAGCTGCCACCCCCCTCCCTGCTGGCAGACAAGCCCGGGCAGACAGCCGGCCAAGCCTGCCCCCGCAGCCGCGCCAGCTCTGCCAAGCCCAGCAGAGCTAGGGGGCCCCCCGGACGGTGCCAGCTCCCCACGAGCGAGCGGTCCAGACTGACCTCCTGCCCAGGGCAAGGTTCTGTCCGCACCCTGCAAGAGCCCAGCACCAGAGCATCAGCGCCCGCTGCCTGTGCCTGTCGCTCCTGCGACTCTGGGCACTTGAGCCTACCTCCATCTGTGTGCCTGTCCTCTCTGGGTGTGCCCTCTTTTCTTCTTCGGTTGTTCTGTCAAATTCAGCCTGACTGGCTGCTCTGACTCCCTGTTACTTGCTCATATCTCGTCAGAAATCTTTGCCAAAGTTTCTTGCCTCTGAGCGACGGCCCTAACCTCTGCCTACCAGTTGGCATCCTCTGTCCTCTCCTCTCCGCGCCCGCCCCCGGTGCACAGAGCGCGCGGGGCCCAGGCCAGGTACTTAGGTCTGGGTGGAGCAGTTCTTCCTGTCCCCAGGCTCCTGCTCCGCACTTACCAGCTCCTGTTTGAGGCGACGCAGATAGCAGTCCATGTCCCGGCTGTCTTCCTCATTCGCCCATTTGCCGGGCTCGGGCTCACGGGAAAGTAGGGTTCTCGGTGCGCTCCGCGCCCCTGGCCGCGCAGAGCTGAACCTCAGCTCCAGCGCGGGGACTTAGAGCGGCGTCCCCCGCCGCCGCTGCTCGCGGCCCGGGGGAGGGGCGGAGGAAAAGCGCAGCAGCCAATGAGAACTCGGAAGGGGTATCTTCGGCCAATGAGAAGAGTGGCCCCGGACCGGGCGACCAGAGTAAGTCTGTCGCCCGCGGTGCAGCAGCCAGCAGCCAACTTTTCGGCGACCGGCAAAAGGTCTTGGTTAGGTTTTGGGCACTGTGGGGCGGTGAAACCTCAGACTGCCAACCGCCCCCCCCCCCAGTGAAGTGCATCATCAATTATAAGGGAAGAACACGTTTTTAGGGGTGAAGACTAGGCGTGGGGCTCAGGCAGGAGGGTCACGTTGTTTAATATTAACCGATCTCTGTTCAGAAAAGAACAAGCGTCTCTCTGCAGTCCCTCAGAAGCCTTTTCTTTCTAATGAGGGCCCTGGAAACTCGGCTCCACTGAATCTCCTCCGAGCCCACTCCTAGGTCTCAGCCCAAGTGGTGGTCTGCTGTGTCCAGAGCATGGTAGTAGACCTGGAGATACTGAGTAGGAGAGACAAAGTCTCAACCTTTTATCTGGGGGAAGAAGGAACTATGAAACAAACAAGTAAATATGAGGATGGCCGCCACAGAGAGCGAGTTTGAATGAAAGATTTAAAAATGGGGTGATGGGAGCTGCTTTCAATAAGGTATTCGGGGAGTGGAGAAACAGGCCTTTCGCTTCCCAGAACGCTCTGGCCCTGGGCTCCTTGAATTGGTAAAGGGGGAAAATTGAAGATGCTCTGGCATCTTCCTGACACCCAAGTTCCGCCAACTTCTACTGGACCTAAGGGGCGGGGCTGGGGGCACAGCAGATGGGGCGCTTCTGCAAGCTAGCCCAACTCGGGATTCCCTAAGCGGCCTCCAGGCCGCTTGCCCGACTTGAGTTGTCCTTGGTGAGCGGTGAGCGAGAGCCTCACCACTTGGGTCCGCCGGGGGTGGTGTGGCAAAGCTCGAGAGTAATTAGGGCAATTTGCTATGCGTTGTTCCAAGATAATTAATAGGGGAAGGTTTGCCCCTGGCAAGATTTTGGTGGTCTCAAAAGGACGGACGCAAGAGAAGGTGCCAAGGGAGAAGGCAGGCACCGGGGTATTCATTGTGTGTGAGCCAAGATGACCGCTGCAAAAGATGGAGGGGATTCGTGCAGAACCCAGTGACTGCTACCGCGCTCCGGGGCCTCCCTTCCGACTCCTCTTCAGAGTGACGCGTCTCTCAAAATTAGACGGAACTGTGCTGTGAATCTGGTCAAGAAGTTTCCAGCGCCGCCGGCGGCGGGGGAAGGGGTGGGGTGGGGTGAGGGCTGAAACAAGAGTTCCATTGCACTCTTGATGGGCGATGAGTCTTCCCCACCGGTCAGAGCAGCGCCAAGGTTCGATTGCTCCATTCCTCCTCCACCGCGACCCTCCTAGGGAGAGGAGATGGGTTCCGCACCCGGAAGGGCCCCATTTTTTGCATACTTCGACTTCCAGCCTGCAGAACAGCAGCTGGTTGTAGGTTGTAAGGAGCGCTTGGTAAACATATGCAGATCTGCGGTTTTCTCAGTCTCTGAAACCTGGTCATGAACGTCCTTGGAATTTAAGGTACTGCCTGTGGTTGAGACGCCAGAAGAAACAGGCTGATCTCTTGACAAAAACGTAGCACTGCGGTTGGTGTGTGTGTGTGTGTGTGTGTGTGTGTGTGTGTGTGTGTGTGTGTGTGTTTTCGTGAGACACTATTGATAACTCGCCTGTTTTCCCTTTCCTGGGCCTCAGTTTCTCCTGCTTATCATTTAAACCTATGTGAGTCTAACATGTCATACTAAAAAAAAAAAAAAAAAAAACCTCTCTTCCTTTTTAAAGATATATTTTTATTTATGTCTGTGCCACATGTGTGCAGGTACCCCGGAAGGCCAAAAGAAGGTACTAATCTACTCCTGCCCCCTGAAGCTGGTGTTTCCAGATGATTGTGACCTCCCTTCCTTCTTTGCAAGTGCTAGAAGTAGAAGATGGTCCTCTGGAAGAGCAGCAGACGCTCTTAACCCCTGAGCCTTCTCTCCAGCCTCACAAAACTCTCTTCTGATGACCACTTATGAAATAATCAAGACATAATGATATATATCCCATTGTGTAGGTGAAGAAAACATCATTAAGAAGGGCTTCATACATGCCATCCACTATGAAGATGGAGGAGAGGGCTGGAAAATAACTGATAACCATAATCTCTATACAGAGATGGCAAGAGGACTTCCAGATGAAGCAGAGATGCGTGCAATCCAGATGACTTCTGAGGACTTTGGGACACATGCACCATCAAATTTTGAAGTCCTTCCATGATGCTGGGCCATTGCCAAGACTGAAGTTAGAGTTATGCAAGAGTGTGCAGGCGCTCACTCTTCTTCAACCTCTCTCTTTTCTTCTCTCTCTCTCTCTACTTCTTCCCTTGTTTCTGAGACAGTTAGTTCTTCTTTGGGAAGAGCAGAAAGCAACAGCAGAGAAGCGAACTGCCTTTCTATTTCTTTTCTTTTTAAGGGCCTAAGTGATAGAGAAAAAAGCCTGTTGCCATGGTTATATAAACATGGATAAATATTCCTGGCCTGATGATGGGGGCTGGGGGACATGATTCAGTTTTGCTGAAGAAGAATCAGATGGCTCAGCCCCCATCCTCCCACCTTCTGATACTCAGCCTGGAGAGAGACTGTGGCTATCTCAATAGAAAGTAAATTATAAAGGGATCAGAGGTCCTGAGACTGGCTGTACGCATCATTCTCAAAGGCATCTAGAGCTGAAATGGGACCTTCAGAAGGCATGTGGGCATTTGCTCCCAGCAAATAGGGATAAGTGGTCTGTAATTTTCCTGATAGTGGGGGTGCATTTACTGGAACCAGGTCCAAAAGTGTCAGTCACTTAAGATTAGCACACAGCTTGGGGAGGGAGGGTGGCCCCCTTTTGTCCTGCTGCCAGAGCCTGAAGGTCCTGGCACCTATAGATGAGCTTAAAAGAAGAGGTAGGGCCAGCTGTGTCCCAACAGAGCTCATCCTGAACTAAACAATGGAAATGCCGCCGTTCTCCTGGCTTCAGATCCCATGGCTCCACCTGAAAGGTCCCCACCCACAAAGTCCTGGCTCAGCTATGGAAGAGGTGGTGCCCAGCATCTCATCTCCACTGGTGACAGAATTGCTGGGAGATACAGTAACCTTACGTGTTCTAGAAACTTCAGCATAACAGCACCCTCCCAAAGGGTGGAGCCGTGTCTCTGTCACCCTCATTCCTTGCCTCCTGTGGCTGCAGAGACCATTAGCCCCCTTCCCCCTTACATGCCTCCAGAGCATCAACAGGAAAGGCTGACCTTAGAGATAAACATGTGTTGTTGGAATGTGTTCAGATATCACTCCAGCAGGGCTACTCTCCAGGGAAAGGACTTGCCTCGCAGGCTGCCCAGAGCAAAGACCGCAGTGTCTGTGTCTAAACACACTGGGGTACAGTGGGGATTAGGCAACACAGAGCCCTCACTCTTCTGAGAAGAGGATAACCCCTGGTTAACAGGACATCTTCCTTTGCTCACTGTAGATGGAGGGCGGACATTTTGTTGCCAGGCAGGGCAGAGAGAGTGAGGTAGCTTCCACAGTGGGGGAAGCCACTTGGGGCTTCACTAATAAAAGGGCGTTATGACTTGGTAGATGGCTCCAAGTCACTGGATCTGAAGCTCTACAAGAAAAGTTTAAAGATTTAAAGATTTGGTTTATTATTGTGTGTGTGTGTGTGTGTGTGTGTGTGTGTGTGTCAGTCTGTGTGCAAGCCTGAGAAGTCACAGAGTCTTCAGATCCTGTTGGAGCTGACCTGAGACGTGAGAAGTCTCCCATCACTCTTAACTGGTGAGCCATCTCTCCAGGTCCAAATCTCTGTAAGTTTTTTTTTTGTCCTTCCTTCCTTCCTTCCTTCCTTCCTTCCTTCCTTCCTTCCTTCCTTCCTTCCCTCCCACCTTACTTTTCTTCTTTCTTTATTTGGTTTGGCAGTTTGTTTTTTCGAGACAGGGTTTTTTGGTTTTTTTGTTTTTGTTTTTGTTTTTCTGTGTGTAGCCCTGGCTGTCCTGGAACTCTCTCTGTAGACTAGCCTGTCCTGAAATTCCCAGAGATCCACCTGCCTCTGCCTCTGCCTCTGCCTGAGTGCTGGAATTAAAGGCACCTCACAGCGCTGTAAGTTTTAAGTGTCTTCAAAGAGTGCCATTATCCCCGTTTGAAATTATTTATTTATTTAATGGGAGCCTGAGTTCCTTTAGGGTCATATTTTGAAGATACAGCCCATTATAGCGAGCAAGGCACCAGGGCAGAAGTATGAAGCAGCTAACTACACTGCATCCGCAGTCAGGAAGCAGAGGACAGTAACCCATTCTCCCAGTTATAGATAGGATGAATGAGGCCCAAAGGAGGGAATAGAACTTGCTTCTACAGTATGTAAAAGAAAGGAGAGGTGCCCTCAGGGGTGTGCATGGAAATGATGAGAGCCACTCAGGGAGGCTGTCCTGGTACATTCTTGTCCATTAAACTTCCATGGCCAATCTCCCCTGGTGCTGACACTGATCACCATATTCCAGGTTTAGCTTCCTCACAGCCATTTGGCTTTAAGATGAGGTGATCAGCCAGGCAGGTGCTAATGCATATGGGAGAGGAACAGAAGGAAGGTGCCGGAGGAAGAAAAGGTAGTATTTTTTTAGTAAACATGTATGAATGGTTTTCCAGCTCTTTTACCTCAACAGTTCAGTGGGATTTATTGTTGTTGTTATTATCGTCACTATTTGAGACAGGATCTTATTTTGTTACCCTGGACTGGGACTCCTTACATAGATCAGGCGACAATCCTCCTGCCTCTGCCTCTAAAATGCTGAGATTAGAGCTGTGCCCAGCTCATTAGGAATGGAAACAATTAAGCTAGAGTAAATAATACATATTTAGTCTGTGGGCTGACGGTCATGCTATCGAGTCACTGGTAGGTGTGGGCTTA